AACAAAAAAAAAAAAAAAAAAAAAAAAAAAAAAAAAAAAAAAAAAAAAAAAAAAAACCGTAAATGGACTAGTCGATTCACTGTTCGGACTCGCCGATTCCGTACAATGAAGTCACTGTACGGAATCGTCCGGTTCTCTCTAGAACCGGACGATTTTCCATTTTTCAACCGATCCGATCCCTTTTTACGAATTCCGAGTCGAACAGGGCGACTCGGCGTTTTTTAAAACGCTAGTTTGGACCGTTAGTTCTTATTGCTTTATATAAAACACCTATTAGCATCCATCTTTAAAATGGATGGTTTCCACTTTTTGCGCGCTAATCATGTCCGCATGAAACCATTTTTTTTCTCTTTTTGTAAATTTTTTTAGATTTTTTATATCCAATAAAAAAGAAATTTGTTATTAATTATTCAGTTCTCGTAAACTTATGGCCAATTACGCTATCATAATGAAAGCTTAGAGCGCAAGTACGGCAAATTAGAAAACCATCGACATTGACTCCCATGATGAACACGTACTAGATGACCACGAATCAATTTCCATTGTAAGTTAATCGTCACCGTCCATTGTTCAGAATGGACGACACGTACGCCCTCGTACAACTTACTTTACCCCATAGGAAATTTGTACACTACGGAGCTTCCCAGGTGTAAAAGTTCCATTATTTCTTGGAGGTACGCAATATTATTGTCTATAGGGTTGGCGATCGGCCGGGCTTGGGCTGGGTCAACATGGCCCTATCCTGGTTCTGTTCCTCAGTGGCTAGTGTTGGCCCAATCAAGGCTAAGCTGGGGCTAAATAATTTTGTTTAAAAAAAAACAAAACAAAAAAAATTAAAATAAGGGTCAGGATGTGCCGACCCAGTTTTGGCCTTGATGCTAGCCCGACACGCCCAGGCCCTTAGGTTTCTATATACTACACTACTATATACTCTATTTATCCTATGCCAATACTATGTGGGAAAGGTCTCTATACTTTATCTATAGCATAGAAGATCTATGTTTCCTTTACCATCCAGCTGAGCTCCTCACTATTTGATCCTAGATGCGATACCATAGAGTATTTTATTTTTAATTTTTTTATTACAAATTGTATGAATATGAAATTTTGTACGTGTCATCTTCTCATTGGGACGCACCTATAAACAATTATTAAAAATATTTTTCAATAAAATAAATGACCAAAATACCCCTTGAATTTTTTAGGGGTATTTTGATCATTTTATTTTTTTTTTAGAAATATTTGTTTTATATTTTTTTACAAGTGTGAGTTTAATAGAGGATTGGATGCCAAAAGTTTGGTATCAAAATGTTTTTATATAAAAAATAAAAAATAAAAAAGTGTAGAGACATGATATTGTGATTGGGGCAATCTTAACCCTCCATTCAGAATGATAGTTGGATAAAGGGCAGCATATAAGTTTCATGTTGTAGGGGAAGCATAAAGGTATATACTTCCCCTTCCATCCAACCGTCCACTTTAGATCACAAAAGCCACTGACCATTTGATCTAAAATTTGACGCTTCAAAGTATTTTATTTTTATTTTTTTACAAATTATATGAATATGAAATTTGGTATATGCTATCATCTCAATGCGGTGCACCTAAAAAATATTTAAAAAAATTTGATAAAATATAATGACCAAAATACCTTTGAAAATTTGAGGGGCATTTTAATAACTTTATTCAAGGGAAAAATATCTCTATATCTCCTATTTTTATATTTTATTTCTTGATAAACCCAATGTTTTAAAAGATATTTTTATTTCTTGATAAACTTATTTTTTAACCTAAACAAATGTGAGAAAGACAAACTATTTCTAAAGGGTGCAGTTTGTATACAGATGCATCGGTAGCTGTAGAGGTAAGGTGCACTTTCAAATTTTGTCATGGTATATAATTTTGATGTAAAATGTTCTTAGGATTATCTCAAAATCTATTTTTATATCTAATTATAAAATTTTAAATTTAAAAAATAGTTAAAATCAAGTAGATCTATAAACATATAACAATCTTGAAAATGGACATTGTGGATAATATGTTGTAAAATGCACTATTTCTGATAGTTAAAATCTTTTTCTTTTTCATGGTCATACATCTCGATGTCGAGATGATCAATCAAAGGGTTTTTCAATGCTATGAAGCCTAAAAATAAAGGGTATGGAGATATTTTCCTTTATTTTATTGGGATTTTTTTTATATTTACAGGTGTGCATTTAAGAGATGAGTGGATACCCAAAATCCAGTGATAAAATGTTTGTAGAAAAATTAAAAATAAAATATCATAGATGCATGAAATTGTGATTTGGGTCATCTCAGCCTTCCATTCACAATTGATGGTTAGACAGAAAAATATATAAAACTTTTATGCAATAGAAGAAGCATAGAAAGCTTGCCTTTTACTCCCTCCTCTAAAAACCATAATTTAGGAGTAACTACTCATTATGAAAATAATCGTGATGAGATTAGTCGATGACTCCATTTTTGGGATACCATGGAGAAAAAAAAAAAGGAAAAATTACAAAAAGAACTCCAAAAACATACTTCTATGCAACTTACCCTCAACTTAGTTTTTTCTTTCACTTTTTCCCCAAAACAAACATTCTATGCAAATAACCAAATGGAAAAAGTTCATCTTTTTAAGACCAAAATACCCTTGCCATACACATAAAAATTGTTAGAAGAAATAACAATTTTTATACCTCAAGATATCTTTTAAAACCTTTGGATCTATTATGATATGAAGCCTAAAAATAAAAGATACGGAGATATTTTTCTTTATTTTATTGGGATTTTTTTTATATTTTTACAGGTGTTCATTTAAGAGATGAGTGGATACCCAAAATCCAGAGATAAAATATTTGTAAAAAAAATTAAAAATAAAATATTATAGATGCATAAAATTGTGATTTGGGTCATCTCAGCCTTCCATTCACAATTGATGGTTAGATTGAAAAATATATAAAAATTTT